TCGGTCGGTGTCCAGTTTTAGCTTCTGGGGAGCTTTGTCCGTGGTTGTCAGTGAACGGGTCAATTTTCTGCTATATATGGGGCACCTTGCAAAATCAGAAGTTTTGGTGTGCTCAGGTAAATCGGTAGTGTAGGGGAGGATCGTGTCCAGCGTGCACGATGGTTCGCGTTCCTACAAGATAAAGAAAGGAGAAACACCTGTGGTCATGTGCGTAGCGGTGCTAATCGCATACGCGATGAATGCAAGGATGATGTGCGAATTAGTCTGGTCTGAACCATGTATAATCTCAGCATGCTACGGAGCGTGCGATGAAATTGTTCTGTGGAGCCTTTTCTCTGCGGATGATATGCTCTCGTGATGCGATGAACAATGCTACACTGAACGAGCAAGGATTGAATGGCGGCAAACAGGAAAACACGCCTGCAGTCGCTTAAAAGCTTGCGGGGAGCACGACGGCGAAGAACAAAGTTGTGTAAGATGATAACGCAAACTCTCTGGCGGTTGCGGTGAGTAGTGCTGTCATCTCCGCGTAACGCGTGAGGTGGTCCATGCCACAAATTATTCACCTATTTCCAAAAGACAACGAGGAAAGTGTTCCGCAGAAGCCGATAACGACTGCGTTCAAATGTATGCACCGGATAAAGCAGAGGCTGAAGTGTACGAGCCAGGCATTGAGGTGGAGCTTCACGTCGCCTACATGCAGTGCACGCACGTACGTACTTGCAAACAAATGTGTACATACCACGTCAGTATTACCGCTGACACAAATGGTTGTACATTTTAGAGCGCCGGCGTGAGCTCTTTGCGGATCGTTGTGGATAGCAGTACAGATTTCCGAGCGCATGTGGTGGGGTATCACTAGCAGCCACCTCCAACCCTCAGGTGTGTAATTATGCCATTAGAGGAGGTTGTCTCGACTAGCGAAATGTGTGGCTTCGCGGTGGATAGTCCTTGAGACCGGATGAGCAAAGGGACTCATCAGAAATTTGGAAACTAGGAAAATTGACGCATTTTTGCGATGCTCTGACGTGTCTTCGAAGTCAATTGATATTATGACGGCTGAAAAAGGTGACGAGGAGGCTGGGTCAGCCTGTAGGAGTGTGTGGGGTAGCGCATAAGCATCGGAGTGCTTGCGGCCGTATAGCTGTAGAACACGAACGTCGTATTCCTGTAGGCCAAGTGCCCAATGACTAAGGCATCCTGACAGATCTACGATCGATGATAGCCAACCTAGAGCGTGGTGGTCTGCCACGACTTCATAAGGACAACCATGAAGGTATTGGTGAAACTTCGCCTATGTCCAGATTTTGATGCACAAATTCTCAGTGACGAAATAATTACCCTCTGCGTTCTTGAGGGTTCGACTCGAGTAAGCGACCACGTATCTTTCGTATCCTGGTTTTCACTGAGAAAAACCACTCGTACGCCGACACCACTGGCGTTGATGTGGTTCTCAGTACGTGCATCAGGGTCATAATAACGTAGTAGTCGAGGTGATGGTAATAAGTGCCATAGCGTGACCAATAATTTGTCGCAATCATGTGACTCAGTAGAAATGCCTTTGGAGGTTGTTAGTAGATTGGCAAGAGGCGCGATAATGGGAGCGAAGTCATAGACAAATCGGCGGAAATATAAGCAGAACCCAATAAAACTTTGAAGTTTCTTCACGAATTGGCCTTGGCATATTCCACCATGGCACAGAGTTCCTCATGGTCTGAGAGAACAACCTTTTTGGCGACAGCATCACCAAGTATATTGAGCTGGCTTGCAGCAATTGATACTTCTTGATGTAAAGTTGAAGACCAGCAGAAGTGAGACATGTGAGAATAGCACGAAGACGAACAAGGTGAGTCGGAAAGTAACGATAAAAAATGACCACGTCACTCAGGTAGCAGAGGCAGATGTTTAACTTGTAGCCACGAAGGATCTTGTTTATCATCCGTTCCACACCAGCTTGAGCGTTGCAGAGTCTGAACGGCATGGCGTTAAACTCATACAGCCAATCAGGCGTGACGAATGCTGTCTTCAATAGCTCAGAGTTAGCCAATCGAACTTGCCAATAACCCGAGCGTAAATCTAAAGACAAGACATATTTTGCTCTTGGTAAGCATTCGAGAGCATCGTTGATGCGTTGCAATGGGTATACCTCCCTACAAATGATCTTATTGAGCCGGCAATAGTCGACACGGAATCTGATAGACCTATTCTTTTTGCGCACCAGAACAACAGGGGATGACCAGCGGCTCTGCGTCTGCGACGGCCGGGTGGCACCACACTTGAGCTTATCACCGACGTGATCGGTAATGATACGCCACTCTTCTTCTGAAACTTGATATCTGCGTTGGCGTAAGGAACCACGAGAACCGGTGTCAATGTGGTGCGTGATACTCGTTGTGCTACTCAAAAATGGTTGAACGCATTCGAAGGAAGGACGGAACACTTGAAGAAGGGAAAAGAGTTTGCGTCCTTGTGTCGGTGACAGTTTGCTGGCAACAGAAGGATGGTAAGAGTTTGTCATGTGTGGTGTTTTTCACAGGTGGCGTTATGTCAACAGGCTGGAGGTGAGGTTCCTTTTTAGCAAAAAGTGCAGGAGGTCAATGTCTTGTATGCTGCCCAAACATTCTCGGTGAAATAAGGCAACTGACGATGATAGCGAGTTCGCAATCAGCATGAAGGTACCACCCTATTCTACGATGAGTATGGCGAAGGGCAGGTGTAGCCCGTGGCAGCAAGGAATTACGCCGGACGGAGTAAACATAACGGTTCAACCTGCAATACTGTACAGGTCAGGACTACAACGGCGGATGTTTTCGGCGCTATGTATGTGCCTGCAGCCACGACAAGTTTGCAAGCTTCGGGAACAGGACCACTAAACAAAAAGGTTGCGGTGATGTAAGGGCGACTTTGACACGGGGACAATCTATGATTGCTCGTAGACGCGAAAGGAAGTCCCATTCGAAAATGACTTCATGAAAGCGTAATGGTAGCACAAAAAATCTAGATGATGTAAAGTTCGCCTTGAATAGCGACACAAGCAGCGCACTTATCTAAAAGGTTTATGCACTGCGACTTGGCCGTGGGGAGGATCAGGCTTGATGACGACGTCGTCACTTTTTTAGCTTGTGACATAGGGTCTAGTAAATTACTGAAGGGGTGGCCCCTGTGTCAATATGCTGTTGTGTCATGGTACCCTCCGCATTTACGTCTATAACGTTTTGCGGTGAAAAAGATGAAGGCCTTGGGTAGTTTCCTCTTAGCGGTTAGTTTTCCTCTTCTGTAGTTGGTCAGCGATGCATTAAGGACGCCGGACGTCGTTAGAAGATGGTGACCGGTGATTCGCGTAAGGTGTTTTACCATCAGTGATGTACATTGGTGGGTTCCTTAACGACGCCGTAACTGGTCTGCCGACGGTATCGAATGGAGGAGGAGCTTGGTGACAGTGGCGGGCGATGTTTCCAGCCATACCACAGGTTAAACATGTGGGCCTATTGTCCAACTTCCTCCAAGCATCTGAGTGACGGTAAAACGAAGCCGAACATTTCGCGAAGAGGAACCACGCAGCGCTCGTGGTTGTAGGCACGGTATGGGTCGGCATGGCTGGCTGAGTATAAAGCATAGTCTGTTGCATGGGCCGAGCAGCGACGACAGCGTACGTGAGAGGCGACGTTTTAAGTTGGTGAGAGGCGAAGTGACCGGTAGTTGCTGATGCATGGGTGGGAACGCCACAGCAGCTTGGATCCAAATAGCGTGTTGAAGGTGCGGAGCCAAAGAATGTGCGGACTCATTTGTGAGTGGCATCAGTTACAGCGGGCGCGCGAGCTCTTCGTGCTTGTCAAATGGAGCAACTGCTGATCAGAAGGACGGGCAGCTGGCTGCAAGCTTGCGAGCGTGTCTGGCATCGCAAGGGCTTGAAGAGCAATCGCCGGCTGCTTACGCAACTAGTCGAGGCTTTGATATAGGGACACCAGAGAAGTGATCGTAGTACAAATTCTCGCCAGTGATACCTGAAAGCGCCACCCTCAATAGCTTTTAAAGTTTGCCTGATTTTTTTTTCTTTCTCAGGCATGGCAGAGTTGACGTGGTTGCATAGATGCAACTCATCTTCTGGTAGCTCGTGTAGTTCTCGCCTGGTTTTTGGGCACATTGACGCAAATGCAGCACGGCGGGAAGCTTGCGAGGCGCAGGTCATCCAAAGACCTCCGTAATAGGAGCCTTGAAAGCAGACCACGTATAAATGTGAACCGCGCGGTTATTAAACCACAGTTGTGCAGTGTCAGTGAGGTATAACGTGATGTAGCCGAGCTTACTTTGATCATCGCATTTGTTGCTGGCGGCGATTTTGTCATATCTTACCATCCATTCTTCTACGTTGGATTTGGCATACTGAATCCAGCAAAGAGTGTTTTGTTAAAAGCTATTGAAACATGTTGTTGGGCCGGTTGGTTAATTCTGTGCGGAACAATCAATCATATTCATTTGTTTTGGCAATCGTGCTATAAGAAATGAGGATTACTCTTCACGAACGATCGACTAGGTATCACAATATACACACCATACTGCAGATTACTATAGGTTGTTGCATTATTTCCCGTGCAAAATATACTTCTGGTCCTTTTTAGATACGTGCCTAATGTCTAGAGCCGTCCCGCATGTGCAGCATTGGCACTGAATACGCAAATGAGCGCTAATCTTAAGTTCTCTTTTTTTCGTATGTTCCTTATCAGAGGCTTTTTGCCTTAAACTTTAGACCAAAATGTTAAATTACGCCACGCACACTTTATGATCGACCGTTTCCTAGCTGCCTTAACCAGGGCAGATAAAGCACAAACAGATATTCTTTTCCGGGGATCAGATGAGAAATACTAATCCATAACTCTAAATTTAGTATTGTACTTAACAGCTGTTCACAGTTCAATATATCTCTGGATTACTTCACAACCGACAATTAGTACACTATAAGCATCATCTTATGCTCATGCCTGATTACCACTACTTTGCAGGACGGTAATTGCAAAATTGATTGTTGCCATCGCTTCGCGGGCTATATGACGTGTACAAAATATGCAATGCTGGACGGTATGAAGTGCCAGCCTGGCAAGGTGAGTATCATTAAGTCCTCAGAGTTCACTTCTAGGATGACTGCCCGTTGGGCGTGTTGGTAAAGGTTTCATGATGAAACAAGCGCAGAAATACACACACTAAGAGAAGACACAGACAAGCGCTTACTAGCAACTGAAAGTTTTATTTCGAAGTGAACACTAATAAATACATCACACGCATGTACGTCATTCCCAACTTCCCCTGTCATCATCAACAACGGGATATAACAAAATATGCACGCGCCCAGAACCTGAAGCAAACACGTGTCAAGAACTACGAAAGGAAAACGTAAACAGAAAAAACAAAAAACAAAGAAACAAAAAACAAAAACTTAACAAAGAGAAAAATACTGGGCAATGTGACATCCAAAAAAAGTAAATTCCGCATCTGTTAGTAGAACTGACGCTTGACTAACGCAACTGTCCCCTCCTTTCCTTATTCTATACGCTTCCATTATTTCTCTCGTCGTCCGCTTGTTGTGCCTGTCTGTTATTCGTGTGTCGGAAAATTTCGGTTGGCAGGTGCACTCCTTGCAGTGCATCGCTAAGTGTGAGTAAGGGGCCCCCTTTAGTGAACTCTCATGTTCACGAAGGCGCACATTTATGCACCGGCCCGTTTGACCAACGTATTCCTTTCTACATGTGAAAGGAGTTCCTTGTACATCTTTTTTTGCACTCAACGTACCTCCCGCCGTGCTTATTGCTATATCTGTTCAATTCTCCAGTTCCTTTCTTGTTGACTTGCCATCCTACTGCTGGAAAAATCTTTGATAATTTGTTTTCAGCTGAAAAAACAACCCGCACGTCATACCTTAGTGCAACGTTTTTCAACCTATGTGAAATATTGTGCAGATACGGGATGACCACTGTCTGCTCTCTTTCACCCTCAACTTGTCTCCTCTCTTCGCTTGTGCCAATTATTGCATTTTTCACTTCCCGACGATTCTTCTCACAGGCCAAAAGGATACAATCATCTTGGTAACCAGATCCCCTCAAGCGCTTGATCTGCGCGGAAACACTCTCATTCATTGAGTGTACGCACGATTTGATGAGGACAGCTTTCATGCAAGAAGTTGCAATCCCATTCTTTACTATCTTCGAATCTGCCGAATGATAGCTCAGCAATGGTTTTTCCAATCTAAGTTGATACATCCAACACGTGTGAAAAGGAGACAAATTAATTTTTAGGTCCACAAACTGAATGCGTCGTTCCTTTGGCACCTCTAAGGTAAACCGTAAGCCACACCCGTTTTTTCTAAAAGCTTTTGAAACAGTCATTAACGTGCTCATACCTGGATCATTTTTTACCAAAATAAGGTAGTCATCTACAAATCTGAACAGCTTCACATCCATACCATCTAGCTCCATACCTACTGCTGTGTCAAGTTTGCTCAAAAACATTGCATAAGATCGGGGCGACACTAGACCCAATGCGAATCCCATCCTTCTGGACGTACACTCTTTTATTCCACCCCACTAGCGTGGAACTCAAATACGTAGCCAAAATCTTCATAAAACCTTCTACAGACACACCACAGGAGTTACAAAAAGCCACTTCATAATCTTTTTCTGTGATGCACTTTTGTACGCTTTGTAGTGACGGACCATGCAGAACGGAATAATACAGATCGACGACACCAATACTGAAGGCATCAGAGACCTTTACATCATCTTCCTCTAAGTAGACCACTTCTTCCACGGAGTTGGAAACCAAAAACGGGTCACAAAACTGGAGCGTTTTCAAATGTTTTTGCGAAAATTCGTACATGAGACGTAGCCATGTACCCCTTTCTGAGACAATGGTTCGGAACGGAAGGTTTTACTTGTGTATTTTTACCGTAAAAAACGCATCCAGCAACAAGCCTTTTTAGCCTTTTACCGCGGGAGACAGCCTGCTCAGGTTCAAGTAAGCTAGCTCCCTAACCGCCCGACGTTTTACAACGCTGACCTTCTCAACAACTTTGCGGAAATTCTTTTCCATAGCAGCCTGGGCCTTCTCCAAATATAGCTTTTCTGGTAAAATCACAAAGTAACCCTCCTTATTCAAAACAGCAATACTACTACCACAAGCAGACAGGAACTTGATCACAGTCCCATTTTCTGTGCCATATGCGGTGTTACATTGCTAGACGAAAACACATTCAGGCAATCAGTACTGCACCTCAGTTTTTCCTCGTCCTTCACACGGCTTGCCAAGGACCTGGCCACTTCCACATTCTCGGCACGGGAGAGAACTGGTTCCACACAGAACTTGTGTCCGTGTTGAAGAATCCTTTTATGATGGTTGGGCAAAGCCAGATCTCCTAGGATCATGACCTTTCTTTCCGTACTTGTGCGTCTTTCCTTCTTGGTAAACTTTTTCGTACCTGGTTCCACAATTTGTTTTTTCAGCCTAAAACAAATTATCAAAAATTTGTGCAGCAGTAGAAAGGCTAGTCAACAAGAAAGCAACAGGAGAATCGAACAGATGTAGCATTAAGCATGGCAGGAGGTACGTTGAGTGCAAAAAAGATGTATACGGAACTCCTTTCACATGTGGAAAGGAATACGTTGGTCAAACGTGTCGGTGCCTAAATGTGCGCCTTCGTGAACATGAGAGTTCACTAAAGGGGGCCCCTTACCCACACTTAGCGATGCACTGCAAGGAGTGCACCTGCCAACCGAAATTTTCCGACAAACGAATAATTGACAGGCACAACAAGTGTACGACGAGAGAAATAATGGAAGCGTATAGAATAAGGAAAGGAGGGGACAGTTGCGTCAGTCAAGCGTCAGTTCTACTAACAGATGCAGAAATTGCTTTTTTTGGACGTCACATAACCCAGTGTTTTTCTGTGTTACGTTTTTTATTTTTTGATTTTTGTTTGTTTGTGTTTTTTTTCTGTTTTACGTTTTCTTTTCTTAGTTCCTGACACGTGTTTGTTTACGGTTGTGGGCGCGTGCATATTTTGTTATATCACATTTTTGATGATGACAGGGGAAGTCGCAAATGACGTACATACGCGTGATGTATCTATTAGTGTTCGCTTCGAAATAAAATTTTCAATTGCTAGTAAGTGCTTGTCTGTGTACTCTCTGAGTGTGTTTATTTCTGCGCTTGTTTCATCAGAGTTGACTTATTTGCACGCGCACGGTTTAAAGAAAGACCACATAGAAACAATGACTTGTTTTGCATTCAAGATCTCACTCTTATATCTCTATTGCCATGTGTTTGACTTTAATGGGATTCATAATAGAAAATAAAATCAAGGTGGAAGTGTAACTTACCTTTCGCGCGAAAGTAACCACGCATGTCGTCAATGATTTCACAGTGCATTCTAAGGCGGTAGCAATTATAAGGACACCCAGTAAAATTGGAAGCTGGGTGGGTTGGTTCATAATTTAGGGTAAACTGGTCTGTGTAAATACAGGAAACGTCACAGAAAAAAGAGAATGGGACATGCGCTTGTCTTTGTCTTTTTTTGTGTCATTGTTCGCCCTGAAATATGGACATTTTCGGGGATCATTTTGCTATTGCCGTTTTTTCGCAGTCTTGCCCCGTAATTTGTATTAGTATATTAACCTATCAATATATATATATATATATATATATATATATATTTATTTGTATATAAATATATATAATATGAGACCCCGTCCGGTACGGCAGCAACCAGGTTATCCCTTTTTTATACCAGACGCACGGGCCAGAGAGCCAGCCCGCGTGACATACGATGATGATCACTACAATGGTTTGGTCATACAGATGAAGATGAAGTACATAGTGAGCGCTCACACTATTTTCTCCCTTTCGCGAAAGAGGGCAGCAAGTTGGAAAGGTTTGGGACGCCGAATATATCGTTTCAGTCGAGAGACGTGGGCGATCTCGGAGTGGTGGCGACGACGATCAGAAGCCGCGTTGACAGGAGCAACGCGATAGTTGACTTCAGATGTTCGTTCCAGGACGGTGTATGGACCGAGATACCGATGAAGGAATTTTTCGCAGAGCCCAGGTACACGAATAAGTGTCCACAAAAGTACTTCGTCGCCTGAGCGGAACACAACAACTCGACGCTTCGCATCAAGGTCGATTTTTCTCTTGTCCTGAATGGTAACAGTGTTGGCGCGGGCGATCTGACGGCAGTGGGCGACGCGAGCGGCGAACTCTTCCGGGAGAGATGAAGATGGATTGGAGGATGTGGACAAAAAGTTGGTGTCCAGAACAAAAGTCGGTACACGGCCATACACGAGAAAAAAAGGGCAGGAATTCGTTGTATGCTGTATAGCAGAGTTATATACAAAAGGAAGTATTGTGTCCCAGTTTTTGTGATCTGGTTGTACGTACATAGAGATCATGTCGGACAAAGTTCGGTGAAAACGCTCAGTCAGACCATTAGTTTCTGGGTGATACGCTGATGTGGTCTTGTGGATGGTGTTAGAGGCCTTTAAGACTTTAGCAAGGACATATGAAAGAAATGTCTTGCCACGGTCACTAAGGAGCACACGCGGTGCGCCATGTCGTAAAATAATGGCGCGAAGAAAAAAATCGCCTTCTTCAGAGGTAGCACCAGATGATAGAGCTGCCGTCTCCGCGTAACGAGTAAGGTGGTCTACGGCAGTAACAATCCAACGGCGACCGGCTGGCGTAAGCGGAAGAGGTCCGTATAAGTCTATGCTCAGAAATTCAAAGGGATTGGACGGGCACGGCAGTGGTTGCAGTGGCCCCGCGGGAAGAGATGTGGTACGTTTTCGGTGCTGGCATGATGCGCAGGAAGCGACGTACTTGGTGACAGAAGTGGAGAGGCCAGGCCAAAAGCAGTGAGTCCTGAGGCGGTCGTAGGTCTTGTGAAACCCTAAGGGGCCAGCTTTCGCATCGTCATGAAACGCTTGTAGAACTTCCAGACGAAGTGAGCGAGGAATGACGGGAACCTATTGGTTACCGAGAGGATGGTAAATTTGCCGACATAATGTTTCTGTTGAAGCTTGAAATGGGCAAGTTGTCGTCTTAGGCGGCTGTTTGG